GTTTCTTGTTCATTGGAAGGATCAGCCTGCTAGTGAGGACTCATGGGAACCTGAGAGCCACCTTGACCGTGCTGCAACTGCCGTGAACCGTTACTTGACCAGCCATGGTTTGGCGCCGTGGACGACGCCACTTGGAGGGGGAAGTAATGTAACAGTGCAGCAGCCGAATGCTGCCAACTGCAATGCAGGTGGGCGGAAGTCACTCGTAACAGTGCAGCAACACACTTCCAAGAACAGTGCAGGTGGGCGGAAGTCAAGCGCCACCTCACCTACAGTTCGGATTGGTCAAACGCCTCAACCTGCAGCTGGGCGACCAGATTCCGACACGCAGCCCAAGTCAATCCCACGCACGAAAATTACGAAACGCAGGACACCAAAGTTCCGACCGCTCGCCGACTTCGCCAACAACACCGACGAAATTACAGCCCCGTAACCAAGCTCGCCGGCCAATCCCGTACCGCAATAATTCTCTGAATTTCACGGCAGGTTCATTTCAAAGGGTTGGGTTACCATTGAGAAATTCAGAGAAAGTCGCGACTTGGGAGTGCGACTCGATGTTTGAATGTGCTCTATAAAATTGTACTCTGAAATTTGTGAAGTCATAATGCAATTTCCAGAAAATTCCAGAGAGCACTCTATACTCATTCTCCAAGCCTACTAAGGCTACTATCTCCCTGCCAGCAACGTTTCACTGGTAATCAGAGCCTGGTTTGTTATTTCGCACGCTCCTGCCATATTCTAGACCCTATGGCTGGGCCGTCGGATATGACGCCGGAACTCTGGAACGAGTTTTTTGCTGTCCAGCAGAAGACAGAGAGGTTGCTTCGGACGGAAAGGGTGGAGACGAAGAGCTGAGCGAGTCGAGGTTGCTGAGAGTTGCTGTCCAGCAGAAGACAGAGAGGTTGCTTCGGACGGAAAGGGTGGAGACGAAGAGCTGAGCGAGTCGAGGTTGCTGAGAGTTGCTGTCCAGCAGAAGACAGAGAGGTTGCTTCGGAAGGAAAGGGTGGAGATGAAGAGCTGAGCGAGTCGAGGTTGCTGAGAGTTGCTGTCCAGCAGAAGACAGAGAGGTTGCTTCGGACGGAAAGGGTGGAGACGAAGAGCTGAGCGAGTCGCCGCCAAAGACGGCAGACCGACGCGATGAGGAGATGGTAACCCGCGAAGGTTGCGGAGAGTTGAATCGTTAGCGCCAAGTGCGGCTGGTAATTAGGCGAAGCAACGCCAGGTAAGCGGTGCGGAGGTACCTAGGCTTGTGGTGCAAGTAGGTCCATACCGCGTCGATTTCAAATGAGCAGGTGCCGGGATTCACGGAGTGCCATAGGATTCGAATGAGAAGATCGTCAGTGAGGCGGTGGATGTGCGGGGGAGCCTCCATAAAACTCGAGCTTCACGCACGACTCACGACTGCCCTGAATGATAATGACGGGTGGATGAAGTGGAAACTGATACTGTTGTAGGTAAGCCCTACCAGTTGAGGCCGATTCCATTAACCTGTTTTGCAATCTCAACCACTCAGAACTTTACGAAAACGTGCTCAACCACTGTGATTCTCCGTGCGAAACACAGTCCACACCTGTTCCAACGTGTTGTTGGCTTGATATAGTACAGCTAAATCTAGTGCAACTTTGGGAGTCATATTCTACGGAATGTTATGCTACTGATGGAATACAACTGAAAAAAAAAAAAAAAAAAAAAAAAAGCACCAGGCATACACTTCAAACGAATGGTATCCAATGCAACGTCTAAAGACGCATCCTGCTAAAAAGAGAAACATTTCCATATGTGTCAAATGTTATAGCCTCTAGTGGGTTGCCAATTATATGCATGTATAGTTTAGATAGGCTCTATGGGGGTTAACACTAGGGGGTACACAATTTCTCTCGACATTCTCGTCGACGAGGGCGATGCGCGGGGCTGCGGGGCGGCTAAGCGTGCGACGCGCGGGCGCAACGGGGCTGCGGCGCGACGCGACGAGCAGCGCGCGGGGGCCTGCGGGGCTGCGGGGCGACGCGACGAGCAGCGCGCGCGGGGCAGAGCGGGCAGGGCAGGGCCCGCGAAAAAAAAGGGGAAAAAAATGCGCGCTGCAGCTGTGGCGCGCGGCCAGCAGGGGTAGCGCGACTCGTAGGAGGGCAGGGCGGGCGCGGAGTAACGCGGTAACCGGAGGCGATTTTAAGGTGGGCCCTAAAGGAGGTAAGTTTAAGGTACTAAGGACCTCAAGCTCTATACCATGTCAAGATACTTAGGCTAGGAGCAGCGTTTGGAGCGTGAGAGGTTGGAGTTGCAGCAGCAGCAGCAGCAGCAGCAGCAGCAGCAGCAGCAGCAGCAGCAGCAGCAGCAGCAGCAGCAGCAGCAGCAGCAGCAGCAGCAGCAGCAGCAGCAGCCACAGCAGCCGGAGCAGCCTCCGGCCCCTGTTTCTGGCCTTCGGGCCCTTGGTCTCCCCTCCTCTCGTCCTGTGTTCGGTCCTACGTTTCCTCCTCCGGACTCAGCTCCGGCTGTGTTCCCTCGTTCTCAGTCTCCTCCGTCTCCCCCTCCTCTCACCCACACTTGGACCTCTCGTCCTCCTCGTGCTCGTCCCTCGTCACCTGTCACTGACCTCCGTACCGTGTTGTTTCGTTCTAGTCCTCCTCGTCCTCCTCAGTCTGTTCTTCCTCGTCCTCCTGAGTCGTCCCTCACTGCCTCCCTGTCCACTCCGGTCTCTGACTACTACCGCACGTACCGCCCCACTCTCTCTCGTGTTCTCGCCTCTCTTGTTACAGACCCTCGTGCCTCTCCTTCCTCCGTCGCGGTCCTCACTGCCGCTGTCACTGACTTTACTGCTACGCGTCGCCTTGACTACGCCACTCGTGTTGTGGCCGCTCCTCCTGTCCGTCCTCTGTCCGCCGGGGGTGAGTCTGCCCTTGGCTGTGACGTCCTAGAGGACAGACAGTTTGAGCTAGAGTTCCTGGCAGCTGCTTCGCCTCATCTCTGTGCCATGCTCCTCGCTCCTGAGGGAGACCCCGACGCTCCTGACATTCCTACTCCTCGCACTTACGCTGAGGCAGTGTCAGGGCCTTGGGCCTCTCAGTGGAGAGCTGCCATGGACGCAGAGATGGCTTCCTACAGATCCACAGGCACTTACGTTGACGAGGTTCCCCCCCCAGGGGCGAACATAGTTGACGGCATGTGGATCTTCAAGGTGAAGCGGCCGCCGGGATCTCCCCCAGTCTTCAAGGCACGCTACGTGGCTAGAGGGTTCAGTCAGCGCGAGGGGGTTGACTTCTTTCAGACCTTCGCGCCCACCCCGAAGATGACCACTCTTCGGGTGTTACTTCACGTAGCGGCACAGAGGGACTACGAGCTACACTCCCTCGACTTCTCCACCGCCTTCCTGCAGGGCAGCCTACACGAGGAGATCTGGCTGCGTCGTCCTCCGGGCTTCACTGGCACCTTCCCGCCTGGGACCCAGTGGAGCCTCAGACGACCGGTCTACGGTCTCCGCCAGGCACCCCGTGAGTGGCACGACACTCTCCGCTCTACTCTCTCCGACCTCGGGTTTGAGCCGTCTTCCGCCGACCCGTCGCTGTTTGTTCGTCGTGGGCGCACACCTTTCTTCGTTCTGGTCTACGTTGACGACTTGGTTTTTGCCACAGCCGACACAGTTGCACTGGCGGAGGTGAAGTCCGAACTGCAGAAGAGACACACCTGCACTGACCTTGGGGAACTGCGCCGCTACCTTGGCCTGCAGATCTCCAGGGACAGAGCCGCTCGCACCATCACTCTGACTCAGTCACACATGGTGCAGCAGGTCCTGCAGCGGTTCGGGCTTCAGCACTCCACTCCTGCACCCACCCCTCTTGCTGTAGACCACAGACTCACTGGGCCTTTTCCTGACGAGCCGTTCGAGCCCAGTGGTCCCTACGCAGAGCTGGTGGGCTGCCTCATGTACCTGATGACGTGCACTCGCCCGGACCTCGCCTTCCCTCTTAGCATCCTTTCTCGCTTTGTTGCGACTGGGAGACACCGTCCTGTTCACTGGACGGCGGCTAAGAGGGTGGCGAAGTACCTCGGCGCGACATCGGACATGGGGCTTGTACTTGGAGGGACACAGCCAGTTGTACTCACCGGTCACTGCGACTCCTCGTACGCCGACGACGTTGAGACTCAGAGGTCTACGCAGGGTTACTGTTTCAGTCTGGGCTCTGGAGCTGTTTCGTGGAGGTCTACTCGGTCTTCCTCTGTTGCGACTTCTACCGCAGAGGCCGAGATCTACGCTGGAGCCCTTGCTGCACAGGAGCTACGCTGGTTGACCTTCTTGCTCACTGACCTTGGTGAGCGGCCGAGCTCTGCACCGACCTTGTTTGCTGACAACAAGGCGATGATTCTCCTGTGTCGAGAGCCTCGACTGGAGAGCAGGGTGAAGCACATCGACGTCAGGTACTTCCTCCTTCGAGAGTTGCAGAGACGCGGACAGGCTCGTCTGGACTTCGTGGCCTCCGAGGCCAACACTGCAGACATCTTCACCAAGGCTCTTCAGCCTTGTGACCACCGTCGGTTTTGTCTGCAGTTAGGCCTCGTTGAGACTGGGTCTAGTAGACTGCAGTAGTGTTTACCTGCCCCTTGTTTGCTTGTATCACATATATATTAGCTTGTACACTCTTGAACTGGCCTTGTGGCCCCTTGTTTGTGCTCAGACTGTGTGGTGACGTTGTGATCCACCCTGAGCTGTGTTTTCTCTCTTGCTTGTGACTGGTCTTGTGACCTTAGGTTGTGTTTTTTGTTGCTTGGCATTCCCCACTTAGGCTATGGGGGTGTGTCAAATGTTATAGCCTCTAGTGGGTTGCCAATTATATGCATGTATAGTTTAGATAGGCTATATGGGGGTTAACACTAGGGGGTACACAATTTCTCTCGACATTCTTGTACTCCCCCCCTTGACCTAATCCACATCCTAGCCTAAGTATCTTGACAATATGGCACATGGTCCCATGCAAGTGTGCAGACTACTTTTGCATAGCAGTCCTGCACTAGCAAGCGATCTCCACACCCATCGAAGCTTGCTGGGCAGCGAAGGCCCTCTTTGAAAAGAAGTAGCGCGTGGGGGTTCGCTTCTTGAGGCGCCTTAGAAGATGAGGCAGTGAGAAGGCCATCAACAACTGTGGAAGGAGGAGCAACAGCAGCAGCAGGTTCTTAGGCGCCTGGAGATCAGACAGAATCACCCCCACGATGGTAGTCCCTGGCGGCTCAAAGGGAAGGTAGGTGCCTGTTGGCTCAAAGGGTAAGTTGTTACCTGCAGGATGAATGAGGAGAGGGCGGGAGGCTGGGAGGAGCGGACACAGGCAAAGCAGAAAAATTATGACACGGGAGTGCATCAGAACATGTGGCAGTGAGAAGGCCAGCAACAGCGGTGGAAGGAGGAACAACAGCAGCAGCAGGTTTTCAGGCGCCTGCAGATCAGACAGAATCACCCCCATGACGGTAGTGCCTGGCGGCTCAAAGGGTAAGTTGGTGCCTGGCCGCTCAAAGAGTAAGTTGGAGCCTGCAGGATGGATGAGGAGAGGGCGGGAGGCTGGGAAGAGCGGATGCAGGTAAAGCAGGAGCATATTGGCACGGGAGTGCAGTGGGGCATGATTATGGTTCACGTGAACCAGAAGCATAATGGCGTGAGAGTGCAGTGGGATGTGATTATGGTTCACAACGGATTTGATGAAGATGGGGCAGTGGGAGTGGAGTTGAGTTGCACGTGATAGATGCCGGGATGCGTTACGGGCAGTGAGGTCTTGATGGTTGTGATGGGTGCATTGGCCCACAGAACAAACAACCACAACCCCAAAGACAGCTGCTGTGCTTATGTGATACATGTTAATGCAGGAACCCTAGAGGAGGCACACACGAATGCGGAGGAAGAGAACACACATATAGGCTCACAAACGCACAAGCACACACGACGCAGGTTTGGCTTGCGTGGAGGGAAAGAGTTCTGACACGTCAGCACGCGTTCCCCCTTTTTCTAAGCGGCTCAAAATTGACTCAGTGTGGCAAGCGGAGGAGCGAGAGTCACACTACCCAGAACAAGCCCACGAGCTGAAGTGGCCCAGAGTCACACTCTCGTATGGCCACTCTCCCATGGCCACTCTCGCATGGCCACTCTCCCATGGCCACTCTCGCATGGCCACCCTCCCATGGCCACTTTCCCATCGCCACTCTTCCATGGCCTACAGGGTCCCTTCCACAGGACGGTGGAAGCTATGGGGCATGTGGGACGTGTTGGCAAGCAGGCATGTTGGCAAGCAGGCATGTTGGCAAGCAGGCATGTTGGCAAGCAGGCATGTTGGCAAGCAGGCATGTTGGCAAGCAGCCGTCCCTGGCGTGTACCCCCCATCACAGGTGCACTGGCCCTCAAAATCACAGTAAGATGGCGGCCTATCATCCTCATCATCAGCTAGTGAGAGCACTAATCTACAAGCATACCTTGAGGCACTGGCAGGGTATCATGAGAGACGGGAACAGAAAATACCTTGAGGCACCGGTAGGGTACCGTGAGCGACACATGTGCCAGCAGCAGTGCCTGGCGTGTACCCCCCATCACACGCACACTGGCCCTCAAAATCACAGTAGTCTGGCGGCCTCCCATCCTCATCACCATAGCAGGCAGCCATCTCGAGAGACGGGAACAGAAAATACCTTGAGGCACCAGCAGGGTATCATGAGAGACGCACGTGCCAGCAGCAGCCCCGGGCGTGTACCCCTCATCACAGGTGCACTGGCCCTCAAAATCACAGTAGTCTGGCGGCCTCTCGTCCTCATCATAGCAGCGAGCCATGTCGAGAGAGCGGTCCGACACAAAGGAGCACATGCCATGGCCGCTGCACGGTGGGGTGAGGGGTTGTGCTTGCACCCCACAGAACGCCCGGCACTCGCTGTCACGCCTCTGGCTCAGCCCATGGCCGCAGTAGACCCACTCAAGGCAGTTGTAGGTGAAGAGACACGCGCTGTGGCCTCCTGACGGGTCGTCTGGGTCTGGGCTGGAGGTGTTGAAAGGGAAGGCGTCTGCTGTGGCTGTGAGGTAGTTGTAAGCAGCAGAGAGCATGTCTGGCGATGTGAGGTGGGTCATGTGATGGAAGGAGGGCAGCACTCCCGTAAGCTGGTTGTTGTCAAGGTGGCTGTGGGGCGAAAGAAGGCGGATGGGAAGTGGCGGGAGGGGGAGTGATGGGAAAGGTGATGGGAAAGGTGATGGCAGTTGTGGGTGAAGAGACACGCGCTGTGGCCTCCTGACGGGTCGTCTGGGTCTGGGCTGCTGGTGTTGAAAGGGAAGGCGTCTGCTGTGGCTGTGAGGTAGTTGTAAGCAGCAGAGAGTTTGTCTAGCGATGTGAGGTGGGTCATGTGGCAGAAGGAGGGCAGCACTCCTGTGAGCTGGTTGGAATCAAGGTGCCTGTGGTTCCAGGGGAAGGTGGGAGGGAGAGAGTAGTTGTGGCTGTGGCTGTGAGTGAGGTAGTTGTAAGCAGCAGAGAGCCTGTCTAGCGATGTGAGGAAGGAAGGAGGAGGAGAGGTGAGGGAAAGAAGTGACACCGGAAGTGGAGAGTACATGGTGTCACGGCGGAGAGAGTATGGGAAGAAAGGAGTGGATGCTATTAGATAAAAAGGAGAGGATGTTATTAAATAAAAAAGGAGAGGATGTTATTAATTCAGAAAGGTTGACGGAGTTGACACCCATCGAGTTGTGGCCTTCAGCAAGCAGGAAGGAAGAGACGTGTAGGTGTGAGGAATCCCCATACAGGAGACAAACCTGTTTGTCATAGTCTTGCTAAAAAGATCCCTTGTAAAGAAAAAGGTGATGATAAGAAAGAGACGTGTAGGCGTGAGGGAGCCCCATACAAGAGCCATGACTTTGCGTGGTAGCAGCTGTAGTAAAGTAAAACAATGTTGCTGTTTGTTGTAGGCTTGCTAGAAATTCCCTTTGTAAAGAGAAAGGTGATGGTAAGGAAGGAATGCGTGGGTGGAAGGAAGGAAGAGATGTGTGGATGGCAGAGAGCGAGCAGCAAGGGTGGCGTTTCACAGAGAAGAGATGGATAGCACTGACAATTGCTGGAGTGAGTAGATGAGGTGCATGAGGTGTGTAGAACTGATTGTTTCAACAGAATTCAAACCAGAGGTGACTCAGCAGAAATGTCTTTTGAGGGGACTCAGCAGGCAGCACTGTTAGTACTTTCATTTCAAGACTTTCAAGTCCTGGTTTATGCCTGGACTCAGCAGGCAGCACTGTTAGTACTTTCATTTCAAGACTTTCAAGTCCTGGTTTATGCCTGGACTCAGCAGGCAGCACTGTTAGTACTTTCATTTCAAGACTTTCAAGTCCTGGTTTATGCCTGGACTCAGCAGGCAGCACTGTTAGTACTTTCATTTCAAGACTTTCAAGTCCTGGTTTATGCCTGGACTCAGCAGGCAGCACTGTTAATACTTTCATTTCAAGACTTTCAAGTCCTGGTTTATGCCTGGACTCAGCAGGCAGCACTGTTAGTACTTTCATTTCAAGACTTTCAAGTCCTGGTTTATGCCTGGACTCAGCAGGCAGCAGGTTTATTTACGGGGACCACACGGCTTGCTCGGTTCGAATCCTTCTTTACTCAGCAAGCAGCACTGTTACACAACATTTTGATTGTGAGCCATAATAATAATAATAATAATAATAATAATAATAATAATAATAATAATAATAATAATAATAATAATAATAATAATAATAATAATAATAATAATAATAATAATAATAATAATAATAATAATAATAATAATAATAATACGCTTATTTCCGAATCAACCGAGCAAGGGAGAGCAGACGTTTCTTTATTCACAAATGTTGTGTGATTGTGGGTGACGACCGAGGAGGTAACACTGACAGGTATGCGAGATTAGTGAGGATGGTGACTGAAGCAGGTATCGTCCCCGCAAGACGGCTTTCGCTGAGTTTCCTAAAGATGGGTAGATGATGGACATGGAGGAAAGGAGAGAAGGGGAGGGGAAGAGAGGAAGTGGTGTGGGGGAGAGGAGACGAAGAGGGGAAGAGAGGGAATGGAAGAACACGAGAAAAGGAGGAGAATAGGGGAAGGAGGATGTAGTATTTTAGCTTCCTGCCATAACATAGCATAGCATAGCACGGGATGGGATGGGATGGGATGGGATGGGACCAGGCCCCTAGATTGAGTTTAAATCAGGCTGACAACACGCGAATTTACTCTAATACTCATCCAAAAATCCTATTCTACAAGAGGAAATCAGTGTATTCTTCTCGAAAAAAAGCCCAAAATCAGTCCTGGCACAGAAACAAGTGCTGAAAATTTTGAATGGGATTGGATAGGATAGGTTGGGATGGATGGTATGGGATGGCATGGGATGGCATGGGATGGGATGGGATGGGATGGGATGGGATGGGATGGGATGGGATGGGACGGGATGGGGTGGGACGGGATGGGATGGGACGGATGGCCAGGCATTAGTCCATAGGGATACCTCCACTCGCTCACTCGCACACACTCGCACACACAACATAATCCCCACAAGTCACTCACTCTTTCATCCCCTCACCCACTCACCCCTCACTCACACTTTCACCCACTCGCCACGGACTCGCCCCACTCATTTGCTCGCTGAGGGGACATATCAGGCCATCACACCTGGTCATCCCACAGCACCTTGCGTGCCAACCCCATCACCACTCACAACTCCCCATCACCACTCACAACTCCCATAGCTGTCTGAGGTGGCCAAATTCCTCTGGAATGGAGCCCGAGAGATTATTCTGGTTGAGGTTCCTGGTGCATGCATGATGAGAGGGTGGAGGAGGGCGTAGGGGGAAACTTATTGAGGCGCCTCAAGAGCCCTAAAGGTCATCCTTGTTGAGGTTCCTGGTGCATAATGAGGGTGGATGGAGGAGGGCGGAGGGGGGAAGGGTGGCAAAGGGAAGCATGTTTTTGAGTTGCTTAAAAAACATGGAGCCCGAGAGATTATTCTGGTTGAGGTTCCTGGTGTACAATGAGGGTGGAGGAGGGCGTAGGGGGAAACTTATTGAGGCACCTCAAGAGCCCTAAAGGTCATTCTTGTTGAGGTTCCTGATGCACAATGAGGGTGGAGGAGGGCGGAGGGCGGAAGGTTGGCAAAGGGAAGCGGAGGTACTGGAGGTAGAAGGCAGGAAGAACGATCATGGTTAAGAGAATGGAAATGGGAAAGCTGAAGTGGTGGATGGATGGACGGAAGTAGTGAAGACATGCGCTTTCTTTATCCAGCGCACCCTCATGTATGTAACATAGCATAAAATAATGGCTAACAACACGTTTACGTGCCTTTATGGTTGTTTTCTGCTAACGATGGAGCTCAAGGAGGTGTATGGTGGAGGAGAATGGGAGAGAGGGAGATAGATGGGAGAGAGTTAAGATGTGAAGGATGGGAAGGGATGGGAAGGGATGAGATGGGATGGGATGGGATGGGATGGGATGGGATGGGATGGGATGGGATGGGATGGGATGGGATGGGATGGGATGGGATGGGATGGGATGGGATGGGATGGGATGGGATGGGATGGGATGGGATGGGATGGGATGTGAAGGATGGGAAGGGATGGGATGGGATGGGATGGGATGGGATGGGATGGGATGGGATGGGATGGGATGGGATGGGATGGGATGGGATGGGATGGGATGGGATGGGATGGGATGGGATGGGATGGGATGGGATGGGATGGGATGGGATGGGACGGGATGGGATGGGATGGGATGGGATGAGATGGGACTGGATGGAATGGGGTGAAATGGAATGCGATGGGATGAGATGGGATGGGATGGGATGGGATGGGACTGTATGGAATGGGATGGGATGGGATGGGATGGGGTGAAATGGGGCGATGGGATGAGATGGGATGGGATGGGATGGGATGGGAAAAGATGGAACTGGTCGCACAGCTACAGCATAAGCTACAACTCCCCAGCACCACTCACAACCCCATCATTACTCACAACTCCCTAGCTGTTTTCTCTACAACCGTTTTTCCTCTGCTTATTTTCTCCTAAACTGCTGCTTGTTGGAACCTGTCTCATGATTCTCTCACCACTCACAACTGCTTCAGCCGCTTCAGGCTGCTGACTGCCTGTGGAATGGAGCCTGAGAGCTTGTTGTGAACGAGCTTCCTGACGCATGGCAATGGTGGGGCGAATGGGAGAAAGATGGGCAGGGAGAACGGGAGAGAGGCGGGTGGAGGGAGAAGTTGCTTCAGGCTGCTGACTGCCTGTGGAATGGAGCCTGAAAGCTTGTTGCGGATGAGCTTCCCGAAGCATGGCGATGGTGAGGGGTGGGCGGAGAGGGGAAGGGGAGGCACTGAATGCATGGACGCGCAAGGCTTGCAGGGAGTTCATGCAAGGCATGCAGGGAGTTCATGCAAGGCATGCAGGGAGTTCATGCAAGGCATGCAGGGAGTTCATGCAAGGCATGCAGGGAGTTCATGCAAGGCATGCAGGGAGTTCATGCAAGGCTTGCAGGGAGTTCATGCAAGGCATGCAGGGAGTTCATGCAAGGCATGCAGGGAGGAAGTTCATGATTATGAGGAATGAATGGAAAAGCGAACTGCTGAAGTGGACGATGGATGGGAGAAGTGCAGAGTTCTTATGTTCTCCTATGTTCTCTTGGATCCAAGCATTCTCCTGCAACATGGTGGAGGTGTCATATGACACTGGGAAGTTTACAGGTGAATGGAAAGCATGTAATGTTGTGGTAATTTCCTGCTGATACCTTAGAGATGGGAAGCTTAGGGCATAGGGAGAACGGGAGAGAGGCGGGTGGAGGGAGAATGGGCGCACAGGGTGGTGAGTGCGGTGAGGTTGCCTATAGTTGCCGGAATGGTGCCACTCAAGCCGTTGCCTTCCAGCCATCTGCCATGTCGTCGCATGGGATGGCATGGGATGGCATAAAATGGCGTGAAATGGCGTGGGATGGCATGGTATGGCGTGGGATGGCATGGTATGGCGTGGGATGGCATGGTATGGCGTGGGATGGCATGGTATGGCGTGGGATGGCATGGGATGGTAAGGGATTGAAGCTGATTACAGCATCTTTTGGCAGCTCATGACTATGGGTGGATCTTTGCATCCAAAGCACTGCCTGGGTTGTCAAAAAAATGAGTCAGAAGAGCCACGATGCTGGAGAAGCTCCGAAGGGAAAAAATAAACAAACGAGCAAAGTTTTAAAGGATGAAGTGAAATTAGGAACGCTTACACACAAGAGCACATGAGTCTTTTGAAAAGGTACATGGGACTTTTGAAAAAGGACAGGAAACAAGTACCAACAGAGTCCTTTTCATTATTCACGGTTTGCAATGCCTTTGAGTCTTTTTGACCCATAAGGTGAGTTGTGGCATCAAAAAACAATTGTTTGCAGCAATCATCATGCACACATTTTGCAGCCTTATCCGAAGCAAGGAAAGTCAGCAGGTGCACACATGAACCGGTTTAGAATCGGATGCTTTTAACTGGGCAGCGTTCTTCCTCAACAGAATTTCTATAAAACGGGAAGCGTTCTTCCTTACATGAGTTCCAGGTCTGCGAGAGCTCCGATTGACTCCGGGTTGGGCCCTGACAGTATTTGCTCCCCAAGGCGTCTGCGACCAAGTGCGGCACAGTGCGGTGAAGTGTGGTACAGAGATTGTGAAGTGGAACAGTGGAGGTCGGGTGTGGGAAGGTTGATAACGCATGGTCTCGCATGCACTGGCAGTGCTTGCAGCACCAGCACTGCATGTGTCAGCAGTGCATGTGTCAGCAGGGCTTTGTGCATTCGTTATGATGAGAGCACATTGCCCCGTTCACCCTGCAGTACCATCGTTATGCATTCACTCACTCACTCACTCACTCACTCACTCACTCACTCACTCACTCATTCACTCACTCACTCACTCACTCACTCGCTCACTCACTCACTCACTCGGTCATTCAGCCACTCATCCACACAAGCACTCCTACTGTCAGGCTATCACACCTGGGCATCCCACAGCACCGTGCACGCTGGCCCCATCACCACTCACAACTCCCCATCACCACTCACAACTCCCCACCCATCACCACTCACAACTCCCCACCCATCACCACTCACAACTCCCCACCCGTCACCACTCACAACTCCCCACCCATCACCACTCACAACTCCCGTAGCTGCTTGAGGTTGCTAATTGTGTCTGGGATGGAGCCTGAGAAGTTGTTTTCAGAAATAGTCCTTGTACATGGAGAGGGTGGTAGAAGCAGGGAGCAGGGCGGGGCAGAGAGGGTGGGGGAACCGTTGGAGATAGAAGGCCGGGAGGAAGGCATGGGTAAGAGGAGAGAATGGAAGGGGGTAGATGGAAAGGGATTGGAAGGAGTGCGGATTTGTGAACTTTGAATCGAATGCTACTTATGAAAACAGAGTATCCTGAAGCGAACTGAAAGGGTATAATGGACTACATTAAGATTCCAAAGCATGAAGCTGAGATAAGAAAAAGGTGACAAGGGCACGCATTTTATGGAAAAGGATGTTCGATCGGGCGTGGCGCATGGCATGGCAGATGGTGCATGGGAGATGAGATGGCGCATGGCAGCACGCACAGTGAAGTCAGGTTTGTGAGGCTGAAGATCCACTCAGGCAGCTCCCCAGTCAGTTGACGGTGGTTCGACACGTGCCTGATGATGCGCGCAGCCAAGAGAGAGGGAGGTGACTTTTGAGTCAAGAGAGAAGGAGCAGTCAAGAGAGAGGGAGCAGTCAAGAGAGAGGGAGCAGTCAAGAGAGAGGGAGCAGTCAAGAGAGAGGGAGGTGACTTTAGAGTCGACTCAAAAGACAGCTCCCCAGACAGTTGACAGTGGTTCGACACGTGCCTGATGATGTGCGCAGCCAAGAGAGAGGGAGCTGTCAAGAGAGAGAGAGAGAGAGAGAGAGGAATAGCCTGACATTTGAGTCAACTCAAAAGGCTGAATATCCACGCACACAACTCCCCAGTCAGTTGACGATGGCTCGACAAGTGCCTGATGATGCGCGCAGTCAAGAGAGAGGGAGCTGTCAAGAGAGAGAGGTGACATTTGAGTCGACTCAAAAAGCTGAATATCCACGCAGGCAGCTCCCCAGTCAGTTGACGATGGCTCGACACGTGCCTGATGATGCGCGCAGTCAAGAGAGAGGGAGCTGTCAAGAGAGAGAGGTGACATTTGAGTCGACTCAAAAGGCTGAATATGCACGCAGGCAGCTCCCCAGTCAGTTGACGATGGCTCGACACGTGCCTGATGATGCGCGCAGTCAAGAGAGCAGGAGCAGACAAGAGGGAAGGAGCAGTCGAGAGAGAGGGAGCAGCCAAGAGAGAGGGAGGTGACTTGTGAGTCGACTCAAAAGGCAGCTCCCCGGACAGGTGATGATGGCTCGACACGTGCCTGATGATGCGAGCAGCCAAGAGGCAAGGAGCAGTCAAGAGGGAAGGAGCAGTCAAGAGGGAAGGAGCAGTCAAGAGGCAAGGAGCAGCAAAGGATTAGGGAAGTTGCGGGGAAGGGGGGGTGTGGAACAGGCTGTTAGGGGCGTGAGGGTGGCCAATGTGGAAATGAAGAGCGAGGAGTACAAAAGAGGGGAGGAAGCATGGCAGGAGGAGGAAGCATGGGAAGAGGGGGAAGCATGGCAAGAGGGGGGAGCATGGCAAGAGGGGGAAGCATGGCAAAAGAAAGGAAAGGAGCATGTGAATCTCCCTTTCATGCTGCAAGCTGTGCACAGCACTTCACCTTCAGGCTTGGCACATCCCATGCCATCCCATGCCATCCCATGCCATCCCATGCCATCCCATGCCATCCCATGCCATCCCATGCCATCACACGCCATCCTGCCATCACACGCCCCTCACCCGGCCTTACAAGGACTGCAGGTTGTGCAGCTGGGAGAGGTCGTCTGGTAGCGAGGGGAGTAGAAGGGCTTTGGACAAATGCCTGAATGCACCATGCGTCCACCATGCATGCACCATGCATGGGATATGAGGCATCATATGGG